GAGATGGGGTCTCCCTGTAGCCCCAGCTGGCCTGGAACTCACTATGTAGACCAGACTGGCCTCAAACTCACGGAGATCCATCTGCCTCTGCCTTCCAAGTGTTGAGACTAAAGGTATGCACCACTACACCCAGCTGTATTTTTTTGAGGGGGGGGCGGCTTTTTGAGACAGGGTCTCCCTGTAGCCCCAGCAGGCGTGGAACTCACTATATAGACCAGGTTGGCCCTGAATTCACAAATCCACCTGCCTCTGCCTCCCAAGTGCTGGGATTAAAGGTGTGAGCCACCATGCCCAGCTCCAGGCTCTATTATTTTTAATTTTATGTATATGAGTGCTTTGTCTGCAGGTATGTAAGTGCACTCATGTGTCCAATACCCGAAAAGGCCAGAAGAAAGCACTGGATCCCTGGGAACTGGGGAAACTGTTACAGACAGTTATAAACTGCCAATGTGGGTGCTGGGGATTGAATCCAGGTCCTCTGGAAGAAGAGCAAGTGTTCTTAACCACTGAGCAATCTCTCCAACCCTTGGTTTGATTTCTTTTTGAGACAAAAGTCTCACATGGCCCAGGTTGGCCTTGAACTTGTTGTGTAGCTGAGGATGACCTTGAACTTATGATCTTCCTGCTTCCACTTCCTAAATACTAGGATCACAGGCATGTGCCACCATGCCTAATGCAAAAAATCTTGTACCTCCTTGGGATTGATGGTTTAGTATAATTAGTGTTTTCAGCAGTAACTTTATAGAACATCAGAATGTAATTACAAATAATTAAAGTCAATCAGCTAGGCATGGTGGTACATGCCTTTAGTCCCAGCACTCAGGAGGCAGAGGCAAGAGGATCTCTGTGAGTTCAAGGCCAGCCTGGTCTACATAATGAGTTCAGATCAGCTGGGACTACAGGGAGACCCTATCTCAAAAAGACAAAAAAAAAAAAGTCAATCATATTTCATCTATTCTTATTCTTTAGTTTTGTTATTGTTTTTGTTTTTTAAACATGGGTTTCATGTATCAATTACTCTTGTTTTTTTATTTTTTTATTTTTTTTCATTTTATGTGCATGAGTGTTTTGCCTACATGCATGTAAACGCACCTGTGTTATACAATGCTCACGAAGGTCAGAAGAGGGTATCAGATCCCCTGGAACTGTAGTTAGGATAGTTCTTAGCTGCCATGTGTGTGGGTACTGGGACTTGAACCCACACACCTGGGTCTTCTGCAAGAGCAGCTAGTGCTCTTAACCACTGAGCTATCTCTCCAGCCCTATTTATTTTTATTGTATGTGTATGAATATATTGCCTGCATGTAGGTAGGTGTACTTGTGTTGTGCAGTGCCCACGGAGGTCAGAAGAAGTTGTTGGATCCCCTGGAACTGGAATTACGGACAGTTGTTAGCTGTCATGTGGCTGTTGGGAACCAAACCTGGGTCCTCTGTAAGAGCAGCCAGTGCTTTTAATCACTGAGCTGTCTCTCCAGCCCCAACTCTTCTTTTTTTAAATGCAACATTTATTTTTGTTTTGGTTTGGTTTTTGAGACAGGATCTCCTTATAGCCCCAGTTGGTTTGGAGCTCACTATGTAGACCAGGTTGGCCTCGATCTTACAGAGATCCACCTGCCTCTGCCTCTTGAGTCCTAGGATTAAAGGCATGTACCACCATGCACAGCTTTTTTAAAAAAATGTTATCGATATGAGTGCTTTGCCTATATGTGTACAAGTGCACTGTGCATGCAAAGCCCAAAGAGGCCAGAAGAGGGAGTCATAGCCCCTGCAACTGGGGTTACAGTTGTTCTCTGCAAGAGCAGCCACTGCTCTTCACTGCTGAGCCATCTCTCTAGCCCTTCATTTACTCCTTTTTTTTGTTCTAATTTTTGTCTTTTTTGAGACAGGGTCTCCCTGTAGTCCAGCTATCCTGGAACTCAATAGGTAGACCAGGCTGGCCTTGAACTCACAGAGATTCCCCTGGCTCTGCCTCCCAAATGCTGGGATTAAAGGTGTGTGCCAAACACACCCAGCTCATTTACTCTTCTTTTTTT